GCCCACATGCCACACCTACTGAAGCCCGCGCTCCTAGAGCCCGTGCTCCGCAACAAGAGAAGCCACCGCAATGAGAAGCCCGCACACCCCTGCTCGACGCAACTAGAGACAGCCTGTGCACAGCAATGAAGATCCAATGCAGCCAAAAATAAAAATAAAGAAATAAAAAAAAAATTTTTAAAGTGCCTTAGATGGGCCCTGAAGGCTTGGTCTTTTCAGGGGCCTTAAAATCCAAAAGGGGCTATTCAGGCACTAGTTACGCCTATTAAAGCAGTTTTTGACGGAAGGCAGATCACTAACTGGTAGTTAAAAATATAAAAATCTAGATACTTGTGATCCCCTTTTAAAAAATAGTTCTAACAATAATGTAATGAAAGTAGCCAACAGTTATTACTAGAAACAAGGCAATCCACCTTATTGTTTTCCCCAATGGTCCCTGTTTACATGAATTTTTAATTTTTTATATAATTTTGCTGTTGGGAGAAAAAATAGGTGTAAACGTTTTGCAAGGCAATTTGGCAACGTGAATCAGATGTCTGGAAGACAGTTCTCCTTTGATACAGTAACTCCATATTTAGAAACTTAACCTGAGGAGATTATTAAGAAGAAAGGCATGGGTTTAACTTGAAAAATGTTCCTAACAGCAAAAGACTGAAAACACCTAGATGAGCCCAGCATCAGGGTGTGGATCAAGCAAAATAATAAATCCTTACAACGGAAAAGTGATGTTCATTAACTGACAGGAAAGATATTTGTACCGTATGATTAGACGAAAAAAAGAAAGACAGTTACAAAATAAATATACAACAGAATTCTAGAAGAAAAAACTCCAAAATGTTAGAAATGTTTTTTCTCTGCAAACTGGAATTTGGGGTTCATAGTTCATCTCTACATCTCTACCTCTGTAATTCTTGACAGCGCATCTATTCCCTGTGTGATGATGTACTACAAATATTCGAATAAGTATACTTATGATCATATACAGTTATGATTACACGTTCTGCTTTGGGCATCTATGTGTTATCTCTTTTAATGGAGGAAGTCTTTCCTCTGAGGCTTTAAAGGCTAAAAGCTTTTCTTTATCTCTTTGATAAAATAAGGTAGGCCCAGGCTTCTGAGAAGCCAAGTATCCTCTGGCAGATCCTTGGGGCATGGGAGTAACCTGAAGTCCTGGCTTTCCTGTGATTTCTAGACCTCACTATCTCCTTTGCTCTTGTGAAGTGCTTGACTCATTGGGAACAGTAATCCTGGGGTACAATGAGATTTTTGTTTTGATTCTATTCTATTCTATTGTCCATGGTTCTCAAAAGACTTCTGAGGAAGGGCTTATCCAGTGTTCCCTTCCTCAGTTCAAGAATCAACTTTTAACCATTTTTAATTCAGAGTCCTGCACCCAGCAGGAATTACAGTGGTTGCCGACATTCTGTGACATGTCACACTAGGAAGAGGTACATCCTACAGTGACCCTCTCCTTCTGGTTTCAGGAAAATTGGAATTCCACAGTCAATAGGCAAAAAGACAAAAGCACTCATGGAAAGCTTCCCTTCCCTGTCCTATCTTTCACAACGTATAGTTTCTTCACGTCAGAAGTTCTTTGAAATTATTAATCCTCTTCCAGGAGAATCATCTAAAAATGTGTTTGGCCAAGACCTAAAGTGTTTACGCTGTTGTTTTTTCTTTTACCTTTTTATTTTATACTGGAGTATAGCTAATTAACAACGTTGTGATAGTTTCAGGTGCACAGCAAAGGGACTCAGCCATACCTATACACGTATCCATTCTCCCCCAGACTCCCCTCCCATCCAGGCTGCCACATAACACTGAGCAGAGTTCCCTCTGCTGTACAGTAGGTCCTTGCTGGTCATCCATTTAAAATATAGCAGTGCGTTTACACTTTTTTTGAAAAGTGATTATCAATCTTGTTTCAAAGTAGATTTCAGTGTCACTTACATGTCTCTCTCCCTAAGAATCACTAATTAGATGGCAAGCTCCAGTCGTGCTAGAGAGGAATTAAAGCTTTGTTTAAGGCTTCTCCAGTCATAGGGATGTTAGGGAAATATTTCTGTCCTGATTCTCGTTCTGGTAGTGTACCAAGCTTTGTCATGGCTCCTGGGATTTTTAGACTACGACGACGACAAGAACAACAAAATCCAGAGACTTTTAAGTTTTACTAAAGAATTTAAACTGCCCTGGTGGGAGTGTGAAATTGAGTGCACTAATTTATCTTTCAAAAGTAATCACCTTCACAGCTCACAATGGTGGTCTAGACGCCTGCCCACAAAGCAAGACCAAACGGTCCATCAAGGCTCCCTCTGTTTATCTTTTGATCTCCAGCCCCTAGCTGAGATGCTCATAAGAAGCACTGAATGATTTCCCTTTCTGCAGAAAAACAGCACCTGCTGAAAGAGAACAGCAGAACTTCTTCTCATTCTTGAAAACAGCTTTTCACAAAAGTATCTCAGAGAATTCCTTCTGGACTTAAGAGGATGTCTTAGTTCCCTGAAGATGTGGCATTAAATTGAGACATTTAGATTCTGCTTAGCTGTGTTTCCCACAGATAACTGTCGAACTCTATTGAGCAAATATCACATATTCTTTCCATGTTTCTTCAGATAGAAATGTTATAAAACTGCTGTGGACACCAAATCAAGGACGACCAATGTTTTCCCTGCATGATCTTGGTTCTTGAAACCATTTGGGCATTATCCAACTCACTTTTCCAGGTAAGAGGCTTCATCTCTTTAAAGACTGCAAACTCATCTCAATGCGTTTTGGTTTCCACTCTTCACTAAGTCTAAAAGTTTGGGTGGCAACACCCAGAATTAGTTCTAGCCTTCTAGGCTGCGAAAATTTACCAGCTCCTAAAATCTGAATGTGAACCTTGTCTTGGTAATTGATCACAGCCTCTTTGCAAAAGAGTTCTTTATTTGTAAAATGACTCTCTTCACTTGAAAGATGAAATAAGCACGGCAGCTACAATTACCCTGAAGCAATATGCAACAAAATGTCATATGAATGATAACTCACTCAGCAGACATTCTCATTTAGCTCCAAGCTATTTTAGGACTCAACATAAACACTACCAGCTCATGTGTTCACCAGGTTACCAAGTCACTGAAGTCAGAGAAGTACTCTTTGCTACTGCCCTATAGCTTTCTGCAAGTTTGGTGGTATTAGCACTATAATAATAATAATGATAAATAATATATATCGGTTACTGTGAGTTGGGTACTGTGCTAGAGGCTAAACATACAGCATTATACTTACTCCCAACAACAATTATCTGAGTTAGATATTATTCAGTGAGCTTCAAACTGTGCCTAAACGCTTATAGCAAGTCAATTACAAATGCTGAGATTTGGATCCAGGTCTGTGTAACTTACAACAGGGTTTCTCTCAGAGGCACTGTTGATATTTTTCTGGGTTATTGTTTTGTGGGAGGTTTTCTGTGCCCTGTAGCCTGTTTAGCAGCCTCCTTGGCCTCTACCCCTAGATGCCAGTAGCAACTCCTAAGTGGGATAACCAGAGTTGTCTCCAGACATGGGCAATGTCCTGGAGGGGGAGTGAAACTGTTCCCAAATGAGAACCGCTGCTCTAGAATTAGGGATTTGACTCCAGATCGCCCTTTCCTGAACTACTATGCAAATTTCCCTTTCCGAGGTGGATTTCTGAAGTGTTCCTCATTTGTTCTTTCCTAATTTTTTTGTTTGAAAATGTTGAGTTACAGTAACAACAGGCATGTTGTAGCAGAAATTATACAGTAACTGTATGTAATAAATCTATCGTATGAGTGGTTGGTCCCTTCTTCTCCTCCCATCTATGCTCCCCTTTTTGTCCATTTCCAGTTGGATGATATGAGAGGACCATGGCAAGTTGCCTTACTTTCTCGTGTTTTTCCTCCTCAGTCAGAATACATACTTCCTGTTGGGCTCTTTGGAGATCTCCTGCCTCTTTGTGGGGTAAGAGTTTACTGGAAAGAGGATACTGAGTGATAAAGGTCCAAATTTGCAGTTGGAGTCCTTGAACAAAGGACCCGGATCGCTGACCTCGGCAGTGAGTCCAGTTGCACGGCCTGGCCTTTGAGTAGGAAATTAAGGTGAATGGTAGAAAAGCTGACCCCACTCTTGCCTTGGGGTCTGATCGAGGGCCTGCCCTGAGTTTGAAGGCTTCTCTCCTTCGGTGTCAGCTATGAGGATACACTGGCCACCACAAGTGTGTGCGAGTTGCCTGTAGCGGCTGTTCCTTCCCACTTGGGAGGTGGCACCTGCAGGCAAGTCCCTGGAAAGATGGCCCTCAGCGGCCAGCAGATGAGTGCCCCTGGCTGTCCTACTAAGTGCTTACTCCACCGCACTCCTGCCACCTGGAGTCCCAGGAAGAGAAGGTCTCTCAGTGGGTTCCCTCCTTAACAGGGCACACGCCCGAAGTCTCAAATAAGGCGCATGAAGAATTACATCTTCCCTTTAAGCTGAGAGGCATTCTGGGGTTAGAAAGTGCTGGAGACTAGCTGAGAGAGTAGGAAACTTTCTGCTCTAGAAGCTGATGGGAATTCTGCTCTAAGGGAGATAGTGTATCCCTTCACTGAGAGTTGGGATAGAATCCTTCCTGCCTTCAGAGAAGATTAACCAAGCACGGGTGGCATCGGACATTTTCCTGCAAGCAGGTGGTAACACTTGTACTTTAAAAAAAAAAGAAAGAAAAAAAGAAAAGAAAAAAAAATGAACTTTTTAGAGAGAGGAAGGGGGCCCTAGGTGTCATAAACCCAGAGGGGCCATCAAGGTAATTTATTAGTCAATTTGGGGAGTGAACGAATCCTGCTTCTGCATTCTAGACGACTTTTGGGTGGAATCATAAAGCCTCAGGCGCGAATGGACCTAGGGTGTCGTCCTTCCATGCCCTTCCCATCTCCAACACTCAGCTCAGAGTACTTGGAGCTTATTTAACGAAAGGGAGCGCCCTTTTCTTGGCGTCCGTGCCCCATGCCCTGCCCCGCGGGCGCTCACCTTGTGCTGTTTCCACATGGTCCCCAGCGGCTTCACCTCGTGCTTGCCGTGCCGGCCCTCCTCCAGGCACAGATAGCACACCGGGGCTCGGCAGCTCACGCAATACATGCTGTAGTTCTCCATTTCGTGGTCAGGGCACGTAGCGTACTTGCGGGCCGCGCCGCCCCCCGCCGCTCCGGCGCCGGTGGCGCCCGGGCTCTTGCAGCTTCCGCCTGCGCTGGGGGCGCCCTGGGCGGCGCCTGGAGACGCAGAGGCGGCCTCGGCGGGCGCGCGCGGCGGTGGCGGCGGCGACACCAGGCGGTGCTTGGCGAAGGGTCCCCGGGATGGATGGCACTTGAGCTGGCAGGCAGCGCAGTAGAGCACGTCGCACTGCTCGCAGAGCGTGGCGGCCGGCTCGGGCGGGGTGCGGTCGCACAACTGGCACACGGCCACGGCAGCGGCTGTGGACGCCCCGTGCGCGGCCCCGCGGCCCTGCTGATGGCGCTGCACGATGGCCTCTAGCAGTCGGTTGCGCCGGAAGCCGCGCAGGCCGCGGTGGTCCAGGGAGGCGCTGCGGTGGCACTGCGGGCACGTGATGGAGCTCGAGGAGGCCGAGGGCAGCGAGCAGCAGGCGGCGCCCCGGGCGGCGGCGGCCGAGGAGCCGGGCGGCGCAGGCACCGTGGGCAGCACGCGAACCCCGTTGGGGGACTTGAGGCTCGGGGTGTAAGAGCCGTAACCGCTGTCTGTCTCACTAAACAAGCTCAGCTTGTCCGCGTGGTCGCCGCCGGCCGCGCTCCCGCTGCCGCCGCCGCCGCAGGCCGGGCCAGCCGGCGTCTCGTGGTCCGGAGGGGGCGCGGCGGCGGCGGCGGCGGCGGCGGCGGCGCCTGCGGGCAGCCCTGAGCCCCGGGAGTGCAGGAGCGGCGGGGGCAGGTGCTGCTCGCCGTCCGGGGTCTGCACCGCGATGGTTCGGGCGCAAGGCAGGCAGACGTTGTGGGAACATGGCAAGATGATGGGCTCCCGAAACAGCGAGCCGCACACGGGGCACTTCAGCTCCTCCTCCATCGCTGCGCCGGCGGAGAGAGCGGCTCGGCGCGGAGGGTGGAACGGCCCAAGCCCCGGAGACGGGCAGAGGCGAGCAAGCGTGGCTAGCACCAGTGAGGGGGAGGCGGGCGCGTCACACGGACATGACTGCTTTGCAAGCCGGGGGCACGCCCCTCTCTCAGTCCTGGGGCCACCGCCCACGGACGACTGGGGGCAAGAGGAAGGAGAGCGGGTCCTCACCTGCTGCCCGCGAGGCTCCTGCACCAGCGGCTGCAACCTGCGGCCAGAGTCCGGAGCTGGTCGGCTGCCCTCGCGGTGGCCTGCGAGATGCTCTAGGGGATGAATCAGCAGCAGCGCCGCCGCCGGCGGTTGCGCGCGTCTCCTCTCCACATGAGGACCGGCTGCCGGGCTGAGGTTCGCTGGCTCTCCTGTTTCAGCCCCTCGGGTGCAGTGGGCAGCTGCCCAGGGGCCCCTTTTGCTCTGGCCGGTGGCCACCGCCAGTCCGGGCGATCTGTAGGTGAGAAGGCGGGCGAGCAGGCCTCTTGGCCCGCGGCTGGGTTCAGCACCACGAGGCGGCGGACAGCGCCCGGGAGCCGACGCTGGAGCCCGAGCTCCGCTCTCGCCGACCCGGGGGCCTTCAGCTGCCGGGCCTCTGCGCCCGCGACTACCTCGGGGGGCCCCGCCGGCCCGGAGACCTTCTCTCGCCTCCTTCTGCGGCCGCTGCCGACGCGGGCCGAACGCGCCCCGGGGCCTTCTTTCCGTGGCCAGCACGGCCCCGCTGCTCCGGTTCGCCGCCGCTGCTCCTGCGGCGCCTGTGACCTTGGCCGTGCGACGCGGCCGCCCGCGGGTGGAGGGCGAGCGCCCGGCTGGCTCGGGAATCTCCTCCGGTCTCCGTGCCGCCGCCGCCTCCTGCCGGCGCCGCGCGCCGAGGAGTTGTAATTTCCAGGGCCGAGAGGAGCGGCAGGGAGGGGGCAAAGGAGGGGCGAGGGGGGCCCGCTCGGCGAATGAGGGCTCGCCTCTCGCTGCTAGGGGAGTCCTGGGGCAATTTTAAGGGTTCGCAGGGAAAACCGCTGTTAACAGCAAGCTCTTATCTGGATGGAGGTCGCATCTTGAATTAGCGCAGCGACCTGGCCCGCCCCGCCCCTGCCAGCATCCCTCCCGCCCACTCCCCTGATCCCACCTGCCGCCATAAAAGGGGGACAACAGGGACCTAGAAAGCCGGTTGTTTACAAATGGAGAGGTAGCCCAGTTGACCGTCGCTCCAAAAAATGCAAGCCACAAAATGTCGGACAGCCTGAAGTCAAAGGGTGAGGTTTTACTTGTGAGTTGAACCACAAGCCATCTCGTCTCTTCAGTCGCGAGTGTTCCTCCGCGATCCATGTCAGTCGTCTCTGCAGAGGGAGGACACGACACGGGGTTTATAAAATGGGGCTTCCCGGCGGAACGCGCAAAGGGCCACTTTAGGCCCCTTGGCCCTCGGAGCAGATTCCCCGGGACCCAGGCCTGACCGGCCGCGGATGGCGCGGCATAAGGCCGGCGGGAAGGCAGCGAGCGGGGATGTTCGTTTTATGAATGAAAAAGATCTCCACGCTCCGCCACGCCAGCCACGAGGAGAGCCTCCCACCCGCGGCCCTGGCTGCTTGGTGTACGGGGAAGGATGGGTGGGGAGGCCGCGCGCGCCCAGGGAAGCGCTCGCAGCGCAGCCGGCTCTGCCTACGGGCGTGAGACAGACACAGGTTAGGCAATCGCTTGCTCAAAAACCACAGGAATATTGAAGTCACGCCTCTCTCTGTTCCCGGGCTCTCCGGCACTCAAACAAAGGCTGGGGAGGCGCCGCAGCGCCGGGCGCGGAGCCGAAGTCCTGGGCAGGCCCGGTGCCTGGGGACGGGGCCGCGCGCAGGGGGAACCCTGGGGGGGAGGCGTGCTGACGCGGCCCTGACAGAACTCTGCGAGTCAGGATCCCGGGTGGGAATCTCAGCTCCTTTACGAACCAGTTCCCCCCACCCTGAGCGGTCTGACTACGCCTTCCCAGTCTCTGATCCTGCATCTGTCAGCGACGGTTGCAATGATACTTCTGTGTTGAGAACTCAACGAAGTCGTCGTAGGTAAACACAGATTGCATACCCGACTTCCTGCTCTAAAATCCTGTGACTCTTCAGTTCAGCTTTGCCCACTGCCGGGCAGCCTGTTTCCAGTTTGTCTTGAAGTTGAAGAGCAGGCCCACCGCGTGCCAGATAGAGCAACACAGAGATAAAACAACAGACTGGACTTCTCGCCATCTGCAGGGACCTTAGAACAATGATGTAACCAGGCGTCAGTATCCCCGGCTGGGGGATGGTGACAACCCCGTCCTCGTCTGCCTTCTATAGATAGAGCCACAAAGTGCTGCGTCCTGCCTGCAGTGCTTTCATAAGAGAGTTGCTACAGCGTTGCTACGCTGCTGAGGGGCGCCGGGGCGGGGGGACATGGGTGTAGGTAGGTGTGTGCTTGACTCATTCACAAATGCACTGCTTGTGATGCTAGCAATGTCATCACTCACCCCAGCCCAACTCAGCCTTCCTGGTGACTACAAAGAAAATAATAACCTCTTATGGTCCTAGTGTGAACAGACATGCCTCACTCCCCACCCCAACCAGCGGTCATGTGTCTGAGAGACCTCCTCGGCTTTGTCATTTTCAGACGGCTTGGAGGGGGGGGAGGTGTTGGGGGGGAAGGGCTCCTGGAGGGGTATGGAAACACCCCCGTACAGAAGGACCGACAATTCCAGCAACTCTGTCCCTCAGACTGAGCATGATTTTGTTTCCCATGGGGAGGAAGCTCATCTAATACTTCAGAATTCTCCACCTATGCCTTTCCCACCTGCCCCCATCCCATTGCCCCCCCAATCCCATCCCCCTAAATCATCCCCGATCCCCCTAAATCAGCTTAACCTTGTACCACACTGTTGCTAAGGCATTGCTTACTGGGGGGATTGGCATCCTTCAGCTGCTGTGTAGGAGCTGAGGTTACACAGCGATTCCAAGAGTTCACCATAGCCATAATCACTAACGGTTGTCGACATCGCCTATAAAAAGTCCTCTTTCTGTCCCAACGGAGTCACGTACCATATGTATACAGAAAAGCGATCTTACTTCTCTGATCCTCAGTTTTTTACTATTATAAATTTAAGAATAGAATTCATTGAACTTTAAATTTCCTTTTAGTTCTAAAAGCCTCTGCATATTAGTTGTTAAGAATGATATAACCTCCTTAATAAAAATGACTCTTACGAAGAAATTTGATCCCAAGATTGAACGGCATATCCATTTTTTCAGGTCATTAGTATTTTGTTAAAGTCTGGGCCTCATGCAGATGGTGAGGCAAGTAATAATACTTCCACTGTAGGACTTGACAGTGTGTCTTCGTCTGTTCAGGCTGCTATAACAAAAATGTCATAGACCGGGTGGCTTAAACAACTGAATTTACTTCTCACAGTTCTAGAGGCTGAGAAGTCTATGATCAAGGCACTGGCAGGTCTGCTGTCGGGTGAGAACACACTTCCTCGATGCCAGACAGCTACCTTCTTTATGTATCCTCACATGGAGAGAGGGAGGGCAGAGCAAGCTCTCCTGTCTCTCCTTACAAGGGCACTAATCCCACTCACAAGGGAGCCACCCTTATGACCTAAGGACCTCCCAAAGGCCCCCCTTCCTAATATATTACATGGGTGGTTAGGATTTCTACATATGAATTTTGGGGAATGCAGACATTCAGTCCACAGCACAGTGTGAAATTATATTCTTGTATATAATCTCATTTAATCCTCACAACAACTCTGGAAGATCACCACATTTTCTTAATTTTATGATGTACGTATTTTTACATTTTAATGTTGCTGAAATTGGGACGTATACTACAATTGACACATACTTCTCTCTCCATGCTTACCTTGAAAATTTCTTATTAAATTGATAATGCAGCTTCCAGTCACTTAGAATCATGGAAATATTTTATTATTTCCAATTTACAGACAAGGAAACTGAGATGAGGAAGCTCAGGATCCCACAACTTTTAATGGTGGATCTAGAACTGGTCTGACCTCAAGTTCAAAACATTTTCCTTTAAACCACAGTTGCTAATGAGGACTTCCCTCACAGTTACTGGTGGACAGTCTAGGGGAGCTCAGGAATGCAGAAGTCCATGCTCCCTTTCTGTAACAGGGAAGAAGAAAATCTGACTCCACGTTGGATCTGTTTCTTTTACTTTAACCTTTGCCCTTCATTGCTTTTTGTTGCTATAATCACTAAAAGGGTATTGTCTATAGCTATTGGCATACATAATGGCCTGCCTCAGGGAACCCTGCCCCTCCACCTGAATGTTAAACTAAAGTGCCTTTGTTCAGCTCACAGGGAGACAATCAGACCCTGTCCACCTGCGGATGCCTGCAGGAAAGAAGAAATTAACATATCCCCTCCTCGAGGCTGGCCATTCCAGGAGATATTTTGCAAGACAAATGGCCTTTTTACTTTACTTCCTCACTTCCTCCCCGTCTCTGTTCTATAAAAGAAACTGGCATCCAGACGCCAATGAGATGGTTCTTTTGAGACACTAGTCTGCCATCTTCTTAGTCTGCCAGCTTTGCGAATAAAGTAGTATTCCTTGCCTCAACACCTCATCTCTGATTATTGGCCTGTCATGCGGCGAGCAGAGCAAGCTTGGATTCGGTAACATTTCCTCACCCAGGGCCATTGAACATGCAATTCTCTGCCTTCCCAGGCTCCCCCACCCTCCAGGTTAGGTGCACCTCTAATAAGCTCCTGGATGTACCCTGTGTTATTCCTCTGTAGCCCTATCATTGACTGCTATTTTTGTTTATGTATCTCTCTCCTTTAGACAAGAAGCTCCTCAAGGATTGGGATCATGTCTATCTTGTTTCCCTGGGTGTATTTCCTCTACCATTGTCTGGCTCTGACTAAGTTATCCATTTTTGTGGACCAACTGACTGGTTGTCAGTTCAAGAATACCCATCCGCATACACTTCCTTGAAAAATTCTGGTAGAAGTAATTTTTTTTTTCCTGTAGAAGATGTCAACAGATCCACAGGGAAATTTTCTCTGTTTAATTCTAAGGTTCAAATATGTTATTTAGTTTTTGTTCTTTGGGGTGTGTGTGCGTGTGTGTGCACACACACACGCACACACACCCCTGCACGTCTTCTCTTAACATCCTTTATTTATTCTTTTTTTTTTTTAGATTTAATTTTATTTATTTTTGGCTGTGTTGGGTCTTTTTTGCTGCACACAGGCTTTCTCTAGCTGCGGTGAGTTGGGGCTACTCTTCATTGTGGTGCGTGGGCTTCTCATTGTGGTGGCTTCTCTTGTTGCAGAGCATGGGTTCTAGCTGTGTGGGCTTCAGTAGTTGTGGCACGTGGGCTCAGTAGTTGGGTTAGTTGTTCCACAGCATGTGAGATCTTCCCGGACCAAGGATCAAACCCACGTCCCCTGCATTGGCCGGCGGATTCTTATCCACTGCGCCACCAGGGAAGTCCCTTTTATTTATTCTTGATCTTCTTACTGTTTAACCTGATTATTCCTACTTGGTTCTTTCCTCCTTGATCACCTCCATCTCTATTCTGAACTACTTACAGATCTCAGAAAGGTGGCCCTACATTTAATTTCTAGTGTCATCCCAGTTACTCCATTTTCCATTGCCTTTTTCTTTTAAAAGGGAAGCATTTGGACACATCTGAACAACACATTAATAATTAAAATTCTGTGATGCACTGTCATCAAGGCAGAGAAAAACACTGTGTCATGAGCTACTTTATGCTCTAGCATGGTTTTTATGCTTAAAGCCCCAGAAACACTCAAGACGTAAGATGTTACCTCTCCTCCTCAAAAAGCACAAAGAAGTTAAACAATTTACT